ACTGAGCCATCTCACCAGCCCCCATTATTCATTTATTTTTGAGACAGAGTCTCACTATGCAATTCAGGGTGGTCTTAAACTATATAGCCTAGCCTGGTCTCAAACTTGCAGAGATCTTCCTGTCACAGTGTCCTGAGTGCTGGGAATACAGGTGTGTACCACCACGAGCAGAACACATGCTCTTTTGACAGGATTTGCCTTTCCTGATGGGTGATAATGTTAAACTTTTTTTTGGCCAGGGTCATTTGCTAAGGCTATACTCTGCCACTAACTGCACCCCATCTTTTCATGTACTTACTGACTACTCAATTGGTTTTTACTGTTTTTGCAGTTCCAAGGATTGAACTTAGGGAATAATGAACTACATGCCCAGTCACTTGTGTTTTAAATTTTGAGAGTCTCAAAAATTATGATCCTTCAGCTTCAGCCTCCTGAGTAATGGGATTATACGTATGTGCCACCACGCTTGCCTAATCATTTTCAACAGAAGCAACTCTATCAAACTTTGCCTATGTGTAATATATACTATTTGAAAGAGGAAAAACTTAAAAGAAAATAAACTTAGTCAAGAACTATATAAAGGCATACTATGTTTGCATAGCCTGGGGTCCTGGTTTGATTCTTTTTTTTTTTTTTTATATTTATTTATTTTTATTTATTACATTTATTTATTGGTGTGTGTGTGGCCAGCTCAGCCCACCAGGGGGCGGGTCTGGCTGGCATGTGGTGCTGGGGATCGAACCGCAGTCCCTGTGCTTTGCCAAGCTTGTTTCAAGTAGGTGCTTTAGACCACTGAGCCATCTCTCCAGCCCCTCCTGGTTTGATTCTGAGTACTACAAAATTAAAAAAGAACAAAAGCCAGCTTTCCTATTTAGCAGTGCAAGTCAGGATGTCTTTACTTATTTATTTTCTGAATCTGTATAGCAGGAATAATTGCAACAATCCTCTTACCTCTGCCTCCCAAGTGCTGGGATTACAGGTGTGTACTACTAAGCCTGGCTACTCAGCCCTTTTTTGAGAAAAAGTCTTGGTAAATTGCCCTGGCTAGCTGACAACTTGCTGGCCTCCTACCTCAAGTAGAACTGGAAAAGATTAGGTAAGATTATTTATGTAAAATGCTGTTCCTATTTTAACAAGTCCCATTAATGCTTGCTGATGGGTCTAGCCCAGCATAGAAAAACTGTCAGGAAAAACCAAGTATTCTCTGGTCACTGTGGGCTTTCACTATCCAACTTTGGGCTGACTTACACAGTGGTCCCTCGCATGCAGAAAGTCAAACAGCTCCTCCGTGCAATCTTCTTCTGTCTGTGACCGGGAAGACACACGTTCATCACAGAGCTCTAGCCGCTCCCGTGCCTTGACACATTTCTCCAGCTGCTCACAATGTTCTCTCACTGTTGTCAGGGGGTCCTGAAACACAAACAAAAGGAACAAAATGGAGGCTTTAGGGAAGACCTACCAGTCTTGGCTTGATTAATACAACCTCCAAATCAAGGTGCTGCTTCTGAGTTACCATGCAGAAAGCCAGTAGGCAGAGCCACACTTCTGCCAGAAATGGCAGAGTGGAGTTTCCCACTCAATTCTGAGCTAAGTAGTACAGAAAGGTTTCACATTCCCACCTTCCGAAGTTGCCAGTGTATACTAAACAACCCAGTCCTATCTGAAAAGCAAGGTGATAAAGGAAAGCTAGACAAACTTGAAAGAGAGGTATCAGATGATTTATATGTTAACAGCATTATGGAATATATTTTGTCTACAACTTTAATTTCTCTTCTCTGAAAACCAGGTCTATATAGTCCAGCTGTCTAGCTAGAAAGGCAATGCTGAGAAGGACCATCTAGAAAATATAGCTGTAAGGGGCTGGGGAGATGGCTCAGTGAAATAAGTACTTCCCTGGCAAGTACAAGGGCCTGACTTCAATCCCTGGTAAAAGAAAGAAAATAGCTATAAACCCAGCCATTTACTTACTTACTTACTTACTTACTTACTTATTTATTTATTTATTTATTTATTTATAGACGGGCTCACTATGCAGTTCAAGCTAGGCTTAAGCTCACTCTGTTGTCAGGCTGGTCTTGAACTCACAATGATCCTCTTGCCTCTGTGTCCCAAGTGTGGGGATTACAGGCGTGTGCTATCATGCCTGGCCACTCGGCCCTTTTTTGAGACAAGGTCTTGGTAAGTTGTCCTGGCTGACTGACAACTTGTTGGCCTCCTACCTCAGCCTCCCAAGTAGTTGCAATTACATGTGAGTAATACTGTGCCAGGCTGAGTTCTCCCTTAAACAAATAAACAGATGAAGGAATGTCAGGCCCCTTTAGATGCTCTGTGTTCCAATATGCTGGAGAACTCTCAAACCCAGAACTGATGCAGCTTTCCATATTCTCATCCCAAATATTTCACTGCACAAGAAATTTTTTGGTTTTTGAAATAGGGTCTTGGTATGTAGCTGAGGCTGGCCTCCAAGTCTCAATGATCCTGTTACCTCAGTCTTCTGTTTGCTGAGATTACAGGTGTGAACCTGTATACATGCAGAAAGTATTAAAAAGCTTATCCCACATTCATTTCCTGAAGGTATCAGAGACTCCTTAAGATGCTTACTTTCAAGAAGTTCAAAATGCTTATACTTAGTATTCCAAATCTAAGATAGCTCTTACCACTAATTCCTCCTCCTCCTCTTCTTCCTACAAAAGGAAAACAGTATTAATGTCAACAGTTTTATGGCATACACTTTCTCAATCATACATTATAAATAATGAGAAGACCTTATATTTATGTTCCATTTTCTTATTTTTTTGGATTTTAGGGAAGGGTCTACAGGGTGTTCAGGGTCTCACTACTAGATCAGACTCACAGTGACCCACCTGTTTACAGCCTCTCAAGAGGCAGGATGGATTACCAGCCCATGCCACCACACTCAGTCTCAATTGCTGTCTCAGTGTGCCCCAGGGATGGGGCTGGCATGGCAGGCCCCAGGATTGAACCCCTTGGCCCCTGCTTACAGGCACTTTAATCTGCTGAGTTATTTGGCTGGCCCTCATTTTCTGTATTCCATGACATTTGACATCTTAGTATCCATAACAATATCTACGCCTGCAGAAACAGCACATAATTTGCCTGGGAGCCCACCTTTCATATGCAATGCAATGACTCCAAAGCTCATGCAGCCAACCACATCTCTTATGTAAGTCTCATAATATACCAATTTCTTATTTCCCCCTGCCTAAACTACCCCAAGAAAGAAGACAGAAAAACTATGGATGTGTCCTACAGTCCAAAGCTTTTCAGATTAAACTATCCAATCGTAAATTAAACCATGCTTGCCTACCTTGCTTCAGCCAGTTCTTCCCACAGAAACCAAGACTATGAGCTACACTTTCCCTGGTTTCTTTTGCTCATTCCCCACATAGCCCTGCACTGTGCAGCATACTCTGAGAAACTCTTAATAAATTCTTCTTTCAAAGGCAACTGTCTCCATGTCGGTCACTCTACCATACCTCATACACCTCAAGAATATTTGAAAATGGACACTGTTGTCTTACTTTCATGAACAAAAATCTATGGCAAAAGCCAGGGAAATAGCTCAGTAGAGTAAGTGCTTGCCTGGCAAGTTCAAGGGCCTGAGTTCAATCCCCCGTTCTGCCAAAAAAAAAAAAAAAAAAAAAAAGGCAATTTATAGTTTCAGTTTTTGCAGGGCTGGGGATTGAACCTACAGTCTTAGACATGGTAGGCAAGGACCATGAGTAGTGCTGGGCTGTGTTCCAAAGCCTCTCTTTTGTTGGTGTAAGTGCTCTGCCACTAAGGTATATCTACCTCTAGTCCTATCTATATCTATCATCTATTTTTGTAGCACTGAACAATGAACCCAGAGCCTTCACACAGAGTTATGTCCCCACGTTTTTGTTTTTGTTGCAGAACCAGGGATTAAACTCAGGCCCTTGCGCTTGCCAGGGAAGCACTTATTCTACTGAGCCATCGCCCCGGCCCCCATGTTTTTAGAAATTTTTTCATTTGAGACAGAATCTCAATAAACTACTCATGCTAACCTTGAACTCAAGTTTTATTATACTGAACAATGACTTAACAGAAAAAAATATTTACATAAAAAAGCATCAAAATTTTCAACATCTATGTTTTTCAGTGTACAAAGTCTAAAAAGAAACAGAAATAATTTCTTAAATGAATTATGATGAAAATATCTATAGCACTCTACAGAAAATCTTAGAGGCCAGGGAGATGGCTGAGTGGAATAAGTGTTTCCCTGGTGTGTTAGTTGATACATTGTGTCAACTTGACTGAATTAGCTCCGCAATTCTCAGGGTGGGGGCCTAGCCCTGCAGGTGGGTAGGGCCCAGGACTTCAGAAAGGCTTCCTGCAGCCCTGCCTGATTTCCTGTCGACCTGCCCTATTTGTGAGGAGAAGTCCGTCTTTGGAGGAGCTTGATCTTTGCAGCCACACCACTTTGGAAGAGCTTTGTTCTTCGCTGTGGAGCGCTGGTCTTCAGTCAGCACAGAAGGAAGAGAGATGCTTGATGGACGCCCCAACAGTTGCTCCTCCTCTGCTCTTGTTTTCTGAGGCATGAACTGCTGTCATTTGCCTTAGAGCCAGCAGAATATGGACTGAACCCTCCAGTAACTGTAAGCTAAATAAACTTTCCCTTCCTTCATTTTGAGTGTCGGGTATTTGTCCAGGCAGCAAATAAAAAGTAACCAAGACACCTGGCAAGTGCAAGGGCCTGAGTTCAAGCCCAAGTTCCGAAAAAAAAAAAAAATCTTTACTTCAATTATCACACCTAAGGCAGTCTTCACACATGACAATAATGTTTCACACATGCATATTGCTTACATTGACAGCACATGTACTTTACTTTCCTGGCCTTTCTGTAAGACATATTTGACATATGGCTGCTCTGGTTTTTTTGTCAGGTTCTTGTTATATGATGCAATGTGTAAATGATGGGAACATAAAATATCAGTAAAATAAAGTATTAAATTTGGAATATGTTTTGCTCATCTACAATAAAACATCAATCTTCTCACATCAGCTGTGTCCTTGCTTACAAACCCAAAAGATAACATCAGAAATTAATTCTTATATGAACTAAAATACCAATAGCACTCAACAAAAAAAATTCTTAGCTTGGCTTTGAGCTCATTATATAGCCCAGGCTGTCCTAGAACTTACAGCAACCCTCCTGCCTCAGCTACCAAAGTGCTGGGATTACAGGCATGCACCACCATGCCTGGTCAACAAGAACAAAAAAATCTCTACTTCAATTACAACACCTAAATAATAAGAAAATAAGTTATCAATAAAAAGGGCCAGCCAAATAGCTCAGCAGATTAAAGTGCCTACAAGCAGGCACAGAAGCTGGGGACTCAATCCCCAGGCCTGCTGTGCCAGCCCTTCCCCTGGGACACACAGACAGCAATTGAGACTGGGTGTGGTGGTGCAAGGTGGTTGCCTGTAATCCCAGCTCTTGGGAGGCTGTAAATAGGTGGATCACTGTGAGTCTGATCTAGTAGTGAGACCCTGAACACCCTGTAGACCTTTCCCTAAAATAGAAAATAAATAATTAATTTAATTAAATAAACATCAAAGCCAAGTGTGGTGACATACACTTGTGATCTCAGCACTTGAGAGGCTGAGGCAGGAGGTTCAGAGCAGTTTTTTTTTTTTTTTTCTCTGAATGCCCTCAGGCATGGTTTGTCTGGCTGGAGTGTTGTGGGAGTCGAACTACAGCAACCTGAGGCTCACAGCTTTGTGGAAGCAGCCACTTAAAGAACTGAGCTATGGCCAGGCCCCCCTTCAGAGCAGTTTTGAGGCCAGTCTGGCTTACATAGAAAATTCAAAGTTAGCTTGAACTACAAAGTGAGACCCTGTCTCCAAATAAACTGATCTAATTAAATAAAGTATTAAGTGCATAATGAGTGCTTAAAATAGACATCAATTTATTTATTTATTCTTTTTTTTTTGTGGAACCGGGGATTGAACTCAGGTTCTTGCGCTTGCCAAGGAAGCACTTATTCTACTGAGCCATCTCCCCGGCCCTATTTATTCTTTTTTAAAGACAAGGTCTTGTTCTGTAGTCCAGGCTGCCTGGAATTTGCAGCAATCCCCTGCCTCAGGCTCCCAAGTGCTGGGATTACTGGCATGCGCCACAGTGCCCACCTGACATTAGTATTTTCACATGAGCTGTGTGCTTGCTTAAAAACCTAAGAAGTCTGGGGATATAGCTCAACAGAATAAGCACTTGCCTGGTAAGTGCAAGGGCCTGAGTTCAATCCCCGGTTTCACCAAAACAAAAACCTAAGAGATAACATCAGAAATAAAAAAATCTATGTGACCTGCAATATAAATACAAAAGCATATCACAGAAATAATCTTTGCTTCACAAAGGTAGTCTTTTTTTTTTTTTTTTTTTTTTTTTTTTTTTTTTATTTGAGAGAGAGAGAGAGAGTGTGTGTGGTGTGTGCGTGTGGCCAGCTCAGCCCACCAGGGGGCGGGGCTGGCTGGCATGTGGTGCTGGGGGATCGAACCGCGGTCCCTGATGCTTTGCCAAGCCCGTTCCAAGTAGGTGCCCTAGACCACTGAGCCATCTCTCCAGCCCACAAAGGTAGTCTTCGTGCGTGAAAATTGCATGTACCATACAGAAGTATCACTGACGGCATGCAATTTTGTTTTCTTGTCCTTTCTTTCTTTCTTTTTTTTTTTTTTTGTGGAACCGGGGATTGAACTCAGATCTTTGCGTTTGCCAGTCAAGCGCTTATCCTACTGAGCCATCTCCCCGGCCCCTCTTGTTCTTTCTTATAGGCCACAGTTGACATCTTTTTTCATTTTCCTCTTGTTATAGTAGGTATTTGGGATGCTGCACCTGCCTGTTCACTTGTCAGCTCAACAGCGAGGTCCACAATTTTTTTGTGTAGTTTTTCCTTTGCTGTAAATCTCTTATGAATTCTAGCCCCAATCCTCTAAGAAATTTCTCCATAGTATTTTGCATTTTTTATTTTCTTTATAAACTGTCACAGTATTTATGCCACACATAAGTGGTTGTTTTACTCTGTACATTTAAGGTAAATTAAAACCATCACTGGCCAATGCTCTGTATTTCAAATGACATAGTTGCTGCATAACTCATCAACATCTGCTCCAGCTTTGGTGGTAGTGTAGAAAAGTCTACTGCAGGCTTCTGTTTTGCCAAGATTTTCCTATCAATATTCCCATTACTGTGCCATGTCGACATCAGTAGTACCAGTTTGTTTTTCTTTACTATGTAGGAGGCCTATGTACATCTTTCAGAAATTTGAAGATTGGGGCAAGGGAGATAGCTTAAAGCTCTAAGCGCTTGCCTGGCAAGTGCAAGGACCTGAGTTTGATCACCAGTACTGCATGCCATGACAGCCCAGGAGCCCTGGTTACACCCTGCTGGCACCGAAACCTGGTGTGGTGGTGCACACCTGTAATCCCAGTGCTGGGGAGGCTGAGACAGGAGGAGCACTACGAGTCCTACCTGCATATTGAGACCCTGTACCAAATACAGACATACATACAAAAAAAAAAAAAGAAGAAGAAAAAATCCAAAGACTGTACTATACAATTCTCTGTTTTGAAATTGCAACATTTCATTTGGGATTTCTGCTTTGTTCCTGAATATAGTTCCTATGGTGGCCAAATGTAACATTAA